TTAATAGGTTCCTTTATTGTAGGCCATTAGGATACTAAAACGTGTGCTCAAGCACATTTTCCTTTGGTTTAGAAAATATTTCAGGCACTGGGAATTTATAAAGACAGGCATATGCTTCCTCAGGTCTCCATTTCTCCCCCGACTTTTCACTAGTTCATCATGTTATAAAGGGAGAAAGGGTTAAAATGGAATAGGAAGGATTCGATGGTGTAATGAGTGGGAGGGTAGTGTAGAGAGGGAAATAGGGAAGAATAATTTACTACTAGAGGCCTTTTAAGAAAGCCATAAGGGCACCTACTACTGGAGAACCTTCCCAAAATATACATATTTGTAAAAGTAACTTAAATGGAGGTTATAAAGCGAGGAGAGTACCCTAAGTAGACACAATATGCTGGCCCCAACCAAAAGCCAACTACCAATGGGTTATCTTTTTGAGTTGTTGGCTAATGGAGTCCCATAGATCTCCAAACAGGACATACTACTGCTAACGCTACTGCAAACCCTCCAGAGCTTGATGGTAAGCCCCTATTGCTGAAGACAAGTATATGAAGGGAAGGAGAAATCTAGCTGGTACTCTGTCATCCCTGCTCACTATAGTGTTTATAGTGCTGGAATGTGCTGTGCAGGCTATAGGAAAAAAGAAACCATCAGTCTCACCCTGCTCCCTGAGACCAAACCCATACATGGATACTGTCAATGAGGCCAAGAACCTATTAGATAGATCATGGGCACCAGGGGAAAACCCATTTTCTATTATTCCACTAAACAGACAAAGGTCATACATTGCTCAACCCTCATCAGACAAGCTTCTTTTTGCAGAACATAGCAACTACTAAAGAACCTCTCAGTTAGTCAATATGTAGAGAATGATACAGAATCCACAGCCCTAAATGGGATGTCTACCCCCACCCCACAAGGCTCAGCGATCTATGTAGAAAAGGGGGCAAAGTGAGAGGTAGTAGACAAGTTCAAGGAAAACTGTTTTCTAGATGCAAGAGGGCAGATACGCATATGAACTCAAGAGTTTGGCAGCGTTCACAACATCTACAAAAGCGCACCACTACAAAAGTCCTACGCCTAGCCAAGCAGCTGTTGGCATTTTATTGCTGCTATAGAAGGGAAAGCTGGTTTTCAATGGAATGGCATCTGGTACACTGACCAACCCCATTGTTTAGTCAGGGTTTCTATTGCTGCGAAAACACCATGACACCATGACCAAAAGCAACCTGGGGAGGAAAGCGTTTACTTCACCTCACAGACTACACTCCACCACTGATGGAGGTCAGAGCAGAACTCAAGGCAGGAACCTGGAGGCAGGCCATACTGAAGCTGAGGCCAGAGAGGAGTGTTGCTAACTTGCCTGTTCAGCCTTTTTTTTTTTTAATTTACTTTTTTCAAATTTAAAAATATTTTTTTCCATTATACATACCAGTCCCAGTTCCCCTAATCCTCTCATCTGCCCGGCCCCACCCCAAATCCACTCCTCAGAGAGGGTAAGGCCCCACACGGAGAGTCCGAGTTGACATTAAGTTGAGGCAGGGCAGGACCAAGGTCCTCCCCACCATACATATCAGCTTGGTTTTTTATAGGACCCTGAGCCACCAACCGATGGATGACACTGCCTTCTGTAGGATGCCCACCCAAGCGACCATTAAGAAAATACCCAATAGGCTTCACACAAGTCAATCTTGTGACTGCATTTTCTTAATTGAGGTTTCCACTTCGCAAATGACTATCTAGTGTGTCAAGTTGACAATAAGAACTAGCCAGCATATCAGGACAGGTCCCAAGTCCAGGAGTTGTGGGCCAACACAAACTGAACTCAACAGGTTTTACAAATGGGTGTGTGTGTGTGTGCAAATATGAAACTTGGGTTGGTAGGAAGGCAGTGGGGAGACCTGGTAGTTGGTAGAGGGGCATGGATATAATCTAAATAAATTGTACAGGATTACCAAAGAATAAGTAAAACCAATATTTAAAATAATAAAGGTGAATTTGAGAGATTTCTGAGAAAAAAATCTCAAACTCTGTAAAGGCTTTAGAAAGAAAGGACCATTTGTAAATTTGATTTTGTAGAAAATCTAATCAATGTGCATATACCATGAGTTTTCTTAAGTGAACCCCCCCAAAGTCTATTATGTTATGTAGTCAATATGTGGGAACCACAGATTACAAGTACCAAGATATAACAGTATTAAATTTGTGTCTTTATTAGCCATGCAGTAGAAAGAATGAGGACATTTTTAGGCACATATGATATTCTAATTTTCCCAACTCATTAAATATCATTTAGCAATAAATCAAGATTAGTAAAGTAGGCTTTGCAGAATCAAAATAACCCAAATGTACAATATATTCCTCTTAACTTATTTGGAATAATATGAGGTTCAAAGCGATTTAGATGGTTGAGAAACAAATAGCAGAAAGATAAGTCATTCTCTTCAAAAACTATTTTTCTGCAGTTTGGGGTCCTGGATAAGAAAGAGATAAAAGTGGCTCAGTGCGGAAATGCTCAAGGAAGCTGAGCTGCTCTCTGCACATGCTGACTGGCTGTTGAACTATTTAGCACACACCGGCATACCAGATAAGGAACTAACGGGAGCTGTGTAGTCCTAAGCCACCCACCTGGCTCAGAGCCTACAGCAGCTACCTAAACAGACCTAGGAAGCCAGTCCTCCATAGCATGTTCTGTAGCAAACATGGCTCCATCTACGGATGGGCTGAGTCCACTGAAGCCATTATAGGCACCTGTATTTCCCAATGGCGTAGAAAGCAGCTGGACGTCTAGAACTATGCTCACTATTCTCATACTTACCTATTCAACCATATTACATCCTTTGTCAAACATTCATGGGTAAGGTCAAAAGTTGTTTGTTTTGGTTGGGGGCAAAACCGACATAAAACACCTTTAGTGTTATTACATGGTCTGGCACCCACTAAGCTTTAACTAATAAGATAGTACAACTTTAAAAGCTGGTCCTTTTACATTTCCATTCTTCCTCAAATAAACCATCTCACTGGATCTTCCCCGTTACCCTTCAGGTTATAGATTTTAAAATTTATTTGCTGGGCAATGTTGGGGGGGCTTACAAATTCTCCAGTCAGAGGAGGAAGGGGAGGGAAAGGAGCAAGCGAGCATATTTGCTTATAAACACAAATTCTCCTCTCTTTTAAGAAAGAGTCTAACAACTTTTAGTCTAACTTAAAAACTTGAAAGGTTTTTGGTTTTGGTTTTTAAGGTCAAAGGCGATTCAGACACCACTTCACACTTGCTGTCTAGAACACCTTCGCTACACAATCAGCGCTGGTCCACAGTAGATACTTTCCGTAACAGTAACTCCTTTTCAGTCCACTTCTCCCAGTCAACTTGACAAACACAAGGTATGTTTTCCTTCCGATTCTTTTCTAATAAATGTGAAGAGCGTGCAATCAAAACAAAATGTCCCCTCTCTCAGCAAAACTAGGACATTGGGTTTAAATGTCCATGTTGTTCTTGGAAGAACTCCCAGTCTTTGACAGTGTCTCTGTTGATTAAAAATTATTCAGATACTCACATTTGAAAACTACTTTTCTTTTAGGTTAAGTTTAATGTAAAAGTTCATAGACTACTTAAGTCCAAGCAAAAACAATGTCTACTGACGTCTACAAAGAAAATAATGAAGTAATTTGGATGTACAGTCAAAAGCTTAACCTCATTTCAACCCCTAAATACCCTGTGATGACTTAACTTCTGGGCAATGCAGGGTGCCCATCACCAACTGAGACAAAACACTACCACATGTTCCAGGAAAAGGCTGATTCTTCCAGCTTTTTTGGGTAGAGATGGGCACAGGTGCTGGTGGCTTCTAGCAACTCAGTAGATGAGGAAGGTGAAATCTGTAGCCACACACCTCTACAAATCAGAGTATGTACCCCATCATATCCACAACAAGCTTCTTACCAAATCTTTTTTTAGTGGCTTCCCAAATTTAAATTTCTTTAACAAGTTTTTAGCCTTATGTGTATGGTGTTCTGCTGTATGTATGTCTGTGCACATGTGTGCCTGGTGCCTGAGGAAAGAATAGTTTGCCCCACCCCTTAGAACTGGAGTTACAGACAGCTGTGAGCTTCCATGGGGATGGTGGGATTTGAATGTGGCTTCTCTGGAAGAGTCAGTGCTCTTAACCTCTGCCACCTATCTCTCCAGTCCAGAACAATTTCTGTCATTTTAAATCGCAGGTTAACTGACAAGAGATAATGAGAAAAAAACTGTTGTAGAGAGAGCTGTGTGCCAAGCAATGTAAAACTTCTCAACTTTTCTGCAGAGAACCTCATTTCTTATCAATACACTTGCCCTTCAGGAAGGGCAATCCTAAATCACTTCAGGAATCTTCATCTAGATAACTGTAACAGGATGTGGTAATTCTAAGGCAAACTGCCTCTGCAACAATTCCTTTAATAGAGTCATTCATTCTTAAGTGCTCACATTTGCACAACAAACGCTGTTAGAGAACAAAGTTCTCAAAGGTGGTGTTCTGTAGCAGCCTACATTCTGGATTCCAAGCACAGCTTCATCTTCAGACTCCCACTTGGGCCTGGGTCAGTGGAAGAAAACATCCCACTTATCAAAAACTAAGCTTCCAGTTTAAATAAACATCACTTCCTAAGACTGTTTACTAAAAACTATCTCCCACATGAACTCCCAGTAAAATGCCAGCATCACTCCAGTCTGGAAAACCTTACCTTTTTGGTCTCGCAGAGTCCTATCACTGACCTTGCACTTTAAAAGTTGTTTAGAAGCACTGTACCGCACAGGGCCGCACAGCAGGTGCCTAGCAGGCAGGCTTCCCACAACAGGCAGCAGTGTTCTTTTACTCATGAAGTCTATTACTTCATGGTGTTCTATCCTGAGGGCGAGCAGGACTAGGGCTAAAACCACTACCCAGCAATGCTGTGCTACACTCAACAATTAAAACTTTTTGTTCTAATGACTTAATAAACAAATAAGGCACAATATTTTATACTATTTGGGTAAATTAATTTTATTATGCTCCATGATGAATTGCCACCAGTGCAACATCCTATTCACTATACATTTCAAAAAAAATCACATACTAAACAAAATTTCAGTTGATAAATGGAATTGAATGATTGAAAATCTTTATGAATTTCATAATACAATATGTGGCTAGCTGAAATTGTCTATCACATAGCATTTAGATATAAAAGGCCTCATGCTAGTTTGTTAAATGCAAAGGCTACCAGACAATCACATGGCTGGACATACCGTGAGGCTTCCAGACGATGCACAGGTATAGTGCCACCCACAGTGCAAGACGGTGGAGGACTGAGACGTACAACGGATACTTTTACTTGGTAGAGTGGATTTAGTCTTCATGCCTGAACTGAATTCCATTGCTCCAGTTATTTAGACTTTGCACAAAAATAAAAAGCAAACAAAAACAAAACCACTCTTCTGCATGAAAAAGAATAAACTCAATTACCTTTGGCAAATAACATACCCCTCATGTATATGTGACTCAAAGAACTGAGAGTCTCTAGAGAAGCTCCTGGTCAAATATCAAATTAATTGGAAAAATCCCAAACTTCTTGGCCAAAAGGTAAGGGACATCAGAATTGGCATTATCTCAAAAGACATTTTTAGGAATTTATTTTTTTTTTTAATGTCAAAAAGAAAAGAGAATACAAAAGTCTGATGTTATTACTATTTGCATGAACTCCTAATTCCACGGGTAGCAGTTGTCTAGCCTCGTCCACACCAGTCTCACAGACCTCTGGCCACATGAAGATGATAGTAAGCAGAAACGGTTCCTAGCAGCAGAGAGCTGTTTGGACTAGAAAAAGCTGAGAATCTTTCCAATGTGCTGTGATTACTCTTGCAAGGAAGGTAACCTTCTTTGAATAACTTAACTATCTTACTGTACCACTTAACTGCTTTCAGCAACTAAACCTTTTAAATTATTCCTGACGATAACTAGATGCATGATCACTAAAGATTATGTGATAAACTGGTTAAAATTCAAGCCATATCTTACAGGTCCAGCCTGTCAAGATCATGTCAATACTAGATTTTGGTCGGTATACTTATAGATAGCATAATTTTTAGTTGGATATTGTGACTATAATGAATACATTTGAAGCTACATTATGCATACAACTCAATGTGAGAAAAATGACTGTATTTAAATCAGATAATTGTCTACCTAAAATTTATTTAAAGAAGGTAGGTAAGATAATTATCACTGTAATTGTGAACCGGCCACCTTCAGGCAGATCAGTGCACTGTAAAGAGGCAAGGAAATCCTAACTTTAACACACAATCTAGTAGGCATAACAAATGTGCAGGCTGTAAGGTTTTATTTCTTAAAAAAAAAAAAAACTATCAAATTAGTTATGTAGTCTAAGAAATTTGCCATTGGGACCATCAACCTTTTAAGAAAATGTAACTTCTCTTTATATACTTGACAAAAATCTGGAGAAACCATCAATGTAAAAACATACAGTGTGAGTTTTGGCATTTTGCATACTTTTGCCAAGAAAACTGACATTTATAATTTGTATATCTGAAAACAACAATGCATACAATCTGCAAAATACAAAAATACTTCATACCATTTTAGCGTTGTTTTGATACCACTTTGAGTCAAATACAACTGTCTAGGATGCATGAAATAACGTCCATAAATGTAACTGAAACTATTTTTGGAAGTGACAACAAAGTGTTTAATTCTTTGCTGAGAAGAGCCTGTCACATTTGCCACAACACAAAAGCAACCTTGGTCAAGTACAGATGTATGAGGCCTCATTAGTATTCCTGCCTGCAGATGCTACTGCTTACCAACAGCAAGCAATGCTACAGAAGAGGTGAGCTACTGCTTCTCTTCATTAATATCTCTGTAGTGATTTTGAGCAGAACATGCTGCTAGAATTTGAAAAACTGTATCAGTGTAGTGATGTCAAGAGAATTGTGCAATGTATCAGCTTCAACATTCATATGTGGCATCATATTCAAAATGAAGGGGCTAAAGAAACTAAAGTTTACATCACTTAAAAAAGAATGTAGTGCTATGCTAAATTTTATTAAGAAAATTTAGATACAGAAAAAGTAGGGTATGAAAATAGTGTTCTCCTTCTGGCATTCTAACTAAATTACATTAAGGTTTGTGTCAGTCTCACACATAATTAAACTCCCTTGTTGATGGAATGAAAATATTCACAAATCACGTGAGCATCCTGCTGTAAACTTGCACACAGTAACAGGGAGTAGCTTTGTATAGGATTATAACAAACCTTTACAGATTAAATGAGGTATTGCACAGATTAATTTAAAAAAAAAGCAAAAAAGCCAACAAAAATATACAGCAAATTGGTAGAACATTTACATGATAATTTTACAGATCCAGACAGAAAGTAGTGTTTAGTGTTTCACCTTAAAAATATATATATAATATATAGATCAGTCTTCCCACTCATCATCATCCTCAAAATCTTCTTCATCATCGTCATCTTCATCTTCATCTAAAACGCAAAACCAAGAGTTAAACACACATGAACAGTGACATAATTCTCCAGTGACTTCTCCAACTAATTAACCCCTGAAACATTTACATTCTCAAATCCAGTTACTAAGAAGATTTAAAATTAATCCAATAAAATCAATCGATAGACATGAATGTGATCAAAAATGAGACTAGGATAGCCAAGATTTGGGTTTTTGCCTCTTAATATCTGCGTGTTTTTAATGTGTCAAATGAAACTAGTTAGCTTTTCTGATTTTTTTACTCACACAGTGAGTAAAACTACTTTTACATTCTGTACATAAATTTGTAAACCTGGAACTTTCGTCTCTTCCCATGATCTGCTTTTACCCATCTTAATGACATCACCATTACCACAGGTGAGTAGGCGTGAGTCATTAATTCCTCTTCTCCCTCCACCAAGGATCTTCCTTTCTACCACAGTCCATACCTACTGTGAGGATTTGCCTCAATTACTGTTGTTCTCCAGTGGATTTACTTCAGAGCAGATAGAGGGATATTTAAATTCAAAGATTAAAATGTCACCCTCTTCCTCCTAAAGGTCTTTTGCTGTCTGGATGGACTCTGAGCTCCCTCTGAAACATTGCACATGACTTGACAAGCCCTTCCACCCTCTTCTAAGTCTTCCACCTTCCCCATCCCTCCCCTCACTGTCTCTAGTCTCCTTTTCTGTCCCTCCCCCTCACTGAACTACTGTTCCTCCATGTTACAGCATTTGAAGCAGCCCTTTCTTGGTTCTGGTTGTTTCATCGTTTACATCCCACCCAGAAACCACCTCCTGAAAGCGGCTTTTCCTGATTATCCCGGGTAACTTCTCCAGCATCGGTAACTGTCTATTCCATTTCCCTTTCCTCGTCATTCTACCTCAATTCGTTGGACTGTCTATAAATTTTATGTCTTCACACTAGAATACAAACTCCACGAAAGCTAAGTTTCAGTTGTTACACATCACAGGATCCCGCACAGCAGAGGGTGCTGTGTAGAGGCTATCCAGTCATTAGTCTCTAAGTGAATTCAGGTTTTGATGTCATCTAATTCAACATCTGCACTTCCACATTCGATCAATTTTCCATGATAGCCACACCTCACAAAAACCTATGAAAGCCAAGTTTGTTAAGAAAGATGGTGTTGAATATTTCCATTTTAAATGAGAAAGACCCAGAAAGTAATGTGACATTACATACATGGGCTGATAAAAACACAGAATATCTTCTGTTCCCCTCTAAGACAGACTTCCTATAAGGAACTGTTTCAATACTAGTATCAGCACTGCAAAAGTAACAGAAGGTAGAGAAAAGCAAAAGCAAGCTAATTGCCTCTCTCCAGCAAACCAAGTTTTACTTTGCCTGTCTTTAAACACTTGACTTGTCTAGACATGAATGGTCAATAACTAGTTAGGAAAGAGAAACAGGCAGGGCTGGCATGCATGAAGAATAAACAGGAAGAGAAAAGGAGAGGAGAGGAGGGGGAGAGGAGGAGAGAGAGAGAGAGAGAGAGAGAGAGAGAGAGAGAGAGAGAGAGAGGAAAAGAAAAAGGGAGAAGGATGCCAGGCAGGGGTCAACCACCCAGCTACCCAGGCAGACAGAATGAGAAGTTCAGAAAAGATATACAGAAATAGATAAAGGTAAAAAGCCCAGAAGCAAAAGGTAGAGGCAGTAATTAAGTTAAGAAAACCAGGCTAGAAATAAGCCAAGCTAAGTTCAAACATTCATACAAAAGAATAAGTCTCTATGTGACTACCTGGGAGCTGGGGGACAGACCCCCACAATGATTAAAGATAAAAAACCAACTACGACACTTCTTTTTCACTATAAATCTTATTACTAAAATATCATAGAAAAGAACTGAGAAATCTCACGCCTTATTTTAGAGGCTGCTTGTCAATGATTCTATAATGTGTTCCAGTATAGAAGATGAATTCTTCACTATTTACAAAGTTTTTCCTCTAGTTTCTGTATGGCTGTGATGTTTTAATATCTATTTAAAATTTTAGGCAGACTAGTCATTAAGGACAGAATTTGATTAAATATGCTACAAAGGCTCATAACAATGAGCTGCCCAATTATCACAAGAGATAACAAGGAGAATCATAAAGTAAGCAGAAATTGAGAGCTTCCCACATCCTACAGACACGCTTCCTCTACCCTCCAGCTCATGGGAGAGTACCTGAGGAATGAATGGCTTTGCTCCTTTTCTGCATCACTTCCATAAGTGCACCCACAATTCCTGAAGTGGGTGCGGGTGTTGGCGGTGTGGACTCTTGACCATCAGACACCTTAAAAAAAGAAAGTATCAGAGCTCAGTGATAAACCATTAGCAAAGAATCTACTTTTGTGGGGCTGGGCAGCCTAGTGGTAGAGCACTTGCCATACAGGTATTAGGTCCTGAGTTCTGGCCTCTAGCCCCACACACCGTAAGGTTCATCTGGACTAAAGTGCAATGTGGGGAGCTTTCCTAACCTTTAGAAGATGAAGAAATGATTGATTCTCAGACAGAGAACTCAAACCGATGCACCATCACTGTTATGAATTCTAGTACTGGAATCTCTTTCAATTTTCTGGAGTCTGATTTATTATTTTTAATTACAAAATAGAAAACTTCAATGTTTAAGAGTATGCTATCATTTTTATAAAGTTACATGTTTGAACTTACCAAAATTACTGCAACTGCTTCCAAGTGGGCTATTTTTAATTCCCCTTAGTTTAATAACTAGTTTCATTAAACTATCTTTCATTTAAAGTCTAGAACAATAAATTACAAACATACTGTAAGATTCTATCTATGTGATATTTAGAATATACAAAAGTATCACATAGCAATCAGATCACTGACTGCTGGGAGGAAGCATGAAGTAGCTTTCTATGGTTACAGATACATTTTGATATTAAGTGCGGATTATACAGCTACAGTGTGTACACATCCAAAATGAGTAAATTTCACTATACACACACATTTAAAAATTTATAAAAAGTAAAAGAAAAGCTTCAAAGATAGACACCTTATAACGAGGTATGGTAAAAGCCCACAATACTTTAAAAAAAAAAAGAAAGAAAAGAAACGGTAAGAAAAAAAGACCACATTACTTACAGATTTCAGTTGAATGCCCTGTCGTATCTGGTCTAAAAGCGCATCCCTTCCTGAACAGGACACAGGTCGACTATTCTGTTCCACTTTTTTTAGCTGAGCACCCTCTCTAATTTGATCTAAAAGAGCTGCTTTGTTTCCTGAAGGAGCGGGAACTTGATGATCACCATCAGAAGGGAGGCCAGGGGGAGGCGGTGGCCCTGGTGGAGGCGGAGGTGGAGGAGGTGGTGGTGGTGCTGTGGACACTGCCATAGACAGAGGTGGAGGTGGTGGTGGGCCTGAAGGTGCTGAAGAGGGCAGCGCTGGTGGTGGAGGAGGGTACATCCTGTTTGGAGGAGGTGGAGGCACAACAACCCCTGGCCTGGAAGGAGGTGGAGGTGGAGGTGCAGCAGTAGGAGCTCTTGAAGGTGGTGGAGGAGGAGCCCCCCTTCCACGGGCAGGGGGAGGAGGAGGGCCTGAGCTATGAGGAGGGGGAGGAGGAGGAGGAGGCCCACCCCTTGAAGGTGGAGGAGGTGGTGGTGCTGAAATAAGAATACAGAAAAAAATGAAAACATAAACATACTAATAAAGCAACTTACCGTAACACACATAAACCCATAATAAAACAAATAGCAAAATCTGCAAACTTTGTAATGTATTTTACAAATATCTGAGCTCAGATAATACAATTCTATTAAGAACATAATATTTATTTAAATATTTAAATATATTATTTTTATAATATTTAAATATTATATTTAGCTTAAAGATTATCCTCCTGTTGTCAATAAACAACAACAGAATCTAGTTATATGGATTAAGTACCAGTTCTGAAGCTGTAAGAAAAAACATGGTTGGAGCGACAGCTCAGGAGTTATAAGCCATGCTTGTGCTTACAGAGGATGCTAGTTGAGACCCCTGCACCCATATCAGGCAGCTTACAACTGCCTTTAACTCCTGCTCCAGAGATTCTAATGTTCCTGTGGACTCTGCAGGTACCCCAAAACATGCACAGGCATGCGTGCGTGTGCAAATACAAACACACACACACACACACACACACACACAAATATTTAAGAAAATATATAATGTAATTACACACTTTGCTTGTAAGCAATATCTTACATTTTATATTAATAATGAACCTTCCTTTTAGAATTAAATATATTTAGATTTTTGTATAAACTCAATTTAGACAGAAATTTTATAGTATGGCAAAAATTTATTAGAATTTTCTAACATCAATTAAAATTAAACCCCAACACAATGCACTTTCTTTCAAAATGTAAAGTTTCATTATCTAATTTACATATGTCCTTTTACTTTATAACACAGTGTTTTATATAATTCAGAACTGGTCAGCAGTTTTAGATATGGTAACAGATGAGGGTGGTTGTTTGGTTAAATGTTCAATTATTTATTTAGAACTGAATTATTATCAAGCTGAAAACTTTTATAAACTATAAAATTAGATGACAGTTATTAAGTTAGTACTACCCTAGTAGTTAATATTTCTATTCTTAGTCTACTTAAGTGAAGATGTAAGATACATTAAAAAAACAAATCCAAAAGATCGTAAGAATATACTGGGAAATATAAGTAAGTCCTTTAAGGATTAAATCTTGTACTTCCGGAGACATGGTTTCACTGGTGACAAATACAAATCCAGAAGCATCATTTCCCATTTGTTTCAAGACTGATCAGAGAAACTGACTTTTAGGGGTACACAGAGATCTTAGAACTCACAACCGCTACAGACTTAGTTGTGGAAAGTGTCCATGGTACTGAGTAACATTAGTCAACACGCTGTTACAAATGTCTGTCTTATTATTCCTTACTACAATGGTACAAAAGAAAAGAGCCCTGACACTGCAGCCACTTCTATTTTCTTTTCTTCTTCTTCTTTTTTTTTTTAAAAAAAACATTCTTTTTTTTCACATGTATGAGTGTTCTGCCTACATGTATGTCGTACATGAGTGCCCATGGACAGAATCCAGGACTGTCGGACTCCTAGTACTGGAGTTACAGCTGTAAGCTGCATTGTGGGTGCTGGGAATCAAACCCAAGTCCTCTGGATGAGCAAGCAGTCAGTGCTTGCTTACTAAGCCATCTTTCTAGCTTAAGACTTCTGCTGTCTTAAGTGACACTAAGAAAAAAATCTATTACCAATCTTTAGCTTTTATCGTCTGTATTCTATCTAACACAAAGAACACACTACATCACAGGAACACTTGTGAAAGAATTAACCTAGAAGAGTAAAGACAGATGACACACTGTTAGGACAGTCCAATGCACCAAGATGTAAGCCAAGCAGCCAGCAGTGTGAAAAACTTTTAAGAGCCATCAAAAGCACCAGAAGGAAAATGACACTTGTTATTATTCAATTTTTGAAAAAGTAACAGAAGAAAACATAAAAGATAGCTATAAAAATGATTTTCATAGTATATATAATACATATTACATGTTAAATATCAATAAATATCCTTGGTTAATCTATAGGAATACATAATCTTACAGAAAAAACCCTTCTGTTCATGGTCCATAAAAATTATTTCAAATCAACATCAATATTAAGAATGTCAATAATTATATTTCTTATACAGTTATAATCATAAGACTTATAAGCAGAAAATATTAAGAAGGTATACCAGTATTATAGAATTCATAAAACTTTTTAAAAAATTTTTCCATTCAAAAATTTCCACTTCCTCCCCTCCTCCCATTTAGAATTCATGAAACATTTAGGAACTGATATCCAGTTCTCTCATGAAAATATAACAGGCAAGTATTATCTAATTTAATTAAATTTATGGAAATACTTTCAAGTCCCTAAGTAGATATATGACACTGTGCTCATAAATATTACTCAATTTTCCTTTACCCTAGTCAATGTAAACATATTTTATACAGGTTATTTTAAAAAGTGTATAAAGCAATTATAAAATAGTATAATTAATATCAGCAAAAACGTGAGTGCTGTGGGCAAGAGGTATTTCCTAATAAAGAGAACTTCAATAAAATAATCTAAATTATAGACAATATGTAAGCTCTGACTCATGGAAATGTATATATATTTTTATTACAAATGAATCTTAACGCTCAAAATGTTAGTTTTTGAAGGCAGACATATGAACTCTAGCTACTCCAAAAATCAACACAGCAAATCATGCAAAACTCTGGGCAGTGGTTCAAATACTATTACACATACATACCACTCCACTGTGGTGGACCTAAAGAACAGATTGTTGTAAGTTAATGGGCTTCAATAGCTACACAGAGAGGGAAATCACAAATCTGTTTGTCTTTATAAATCTGATTCCATGGTTTTATAAAATAAATGACAAAAGATTTAATTAAGGAGGTCAAACAAATTTCATTAACTTTTCCATTTCTGTTTCCCATACTTTTGAATATTAATGTATGTATGTGCTCTAAAAAAATCTGTTAATTAGAAAAAAGTAAACATATAATTTGTTTTTTATCTTACTTTTAAAAAAATCTGTCTGGGTTGGAGAGATGGCTCATTGTCTAAGAGTATGGACTGCTTCAGAGGACCTCAGCTGAGTTCCTAAGCCATGATGAACAGCTCACAACTGACTGATGATCTTACACACACAATCCCCAATCCTCAGTATATATAAGCACATAATTACAAATAACAAACAAACAAAATCTTTGAAAAAAAAAAGTCTTACATAAAACCATCCTTTGGTGTATAAAAGATAGGTTCCACACTGAAAAAATTAGGTTTTTGTAATATAAAAATCTTTTATCATGACATTTGGTGCCAATATGATTTTCAAAGCCTGTGACTTTTTGTTTTTAGGGTAATTAAGGAAAGGCCTTATATGTCTTTAAAATATATAAATATGTATTAAAGTTTAAAGAAAATCCAGTCTAGTATGATCCACTTTTCTTTAGGCATGAAGGACACAGGATAGCAAAGCAGCCAATGCTCCTGAGTGTCTGTGACTAACAGAGCTGAGCAGCCTGAGCAGCAGTGGGTGTGGCAGAGCCCTAAGGAAAGTCCCTCTTTCACCTAGACAGAACAGTCACCATGACCGCCCCACTTAAAATGAAACTATGTTCACAGTATGCTTTAAAATCCACAGCATTTGAAGTGCAAACTGTCTGCTACGAAGATAAAGGAGCAAGAATGCAGCTCCTACTGAACTAGCGGTGCTTACACAGCAGCAGTGGGAGCCATAAACTGTTTGCTTCCATAGCTGGCTCCAAAGACTCAGACCTTACTGACTATGAATAGGGGGAACATATTGAATCAAAGATTGAATGAGTATCAGCAGTAAAAAAGCAAAGGAGTTAAATACCACTTTCAAATGACAATCAGATTCAAGAGCACTTAACTGGAGTTTAGCGCAGTTACACTGCTTTTAAGTAGAGCGTGGGAGAAGCTCAGTTCCAAATGCAGTTGGTGCTGAAATGGTGATCGTGACTACAAAGACCATCTACGCACCCGACTATCATAAGTGTTGGGAAGCTACCAAAACACAAAGTTCTTTAAATTACCCAATATCACAAGACTGGAAAAACTGTGGTGACAGGAGCCAATAGAAAGTATTATAATCTGGACTAAACCAAACCATAAAAAAAAAAGATTCATATTTGAAAATAGAAATTTTTTTACAGAGTTTATATTCTGAAAATATTTTATTACAGATCACAAGGTGACTTTTTATACCAAGAATCATGTCAAGTTTTTGCATGTGTGTTTTAAAGATAGGGTCTCTCTAGCATCTATGTAGCCTTTGAACTCCATGTAGAACAGGCTGGACAAAACCTCACAGAATCTGCCTGCTCTACCTCCAGAGAGCTGGGATTAAAGGCTATTTTACCATATCTAGCTAAAGTTAGTGATGCTGGACCAAATTTGGCATCCATAAATTTAAACATTCTGTTCAAGGAAGGGTGCACAGCTGTCCACTACAAGGTTGACTTTAGAAAATTCAAAAGGGAAAAAGAGCTAAGTGCCAAAAAACTAAAATTACCTTGCCTTCGGAGTTCATTTTTAACAGCTTCTACACCTCCTGTCTTTTCAATAAAGTCATAAATAACTTTTGATGTTTCTCTGTCTTTAAGTTGGGCTTCAGAGATCCCACACATATCAAAAAGATTCTTCAATTCTGGATCCAAATTATTGAGCTACAACAGACAAAACAATTTCTAAGTAGGCAATTCTTTCCCAAAACAAACCCGGCAAAACTTACAGTTGACTTCTGTCGTTCTGAAGTTAAATTCACAGACATTGAAAATGGTTATGTAACTTAAATGCTAACACATTTTCTTTTATGAAAAGATAAGAACAAAAGAAATTTTTCTATTTTGTCTCATCTTTTCCATGCCTTAAAAGAGGGCATTCTATTTCTATTTTTATTAATCCACAAGACTAGGTCCTATGTTCATCTATTCTAACCTGTCCTTAACAAGATTCAGCTTTAATCTTGAATTTAATTTAACTCAGCTTTAATCTTGAATTTAATTTTGAATCTGAAGATCTGAGGACAGGACCTGTTTGTGCCGTCATAGCGCTAAGCAAGCGACGGCAAAGGAGTGACAACAGTGTCTCAGAGAATAATTACAGTTAACAAACAAACTGGATACTAAGAATCTGGCTATACTATTGCATTAATTTGATATTCTCCTGAAATTATTACTTAAAGAAATAACATTTTTTCTCTTTGCATTTAAAACACAAAATGTACTTACTTAGCACATAATCAAAGAATGCAAAAAAAATTTTATCTTAAAGGACTTAGCAACTATGACAGAATAATACTATGGATTCAAACCTCAGCAGCACAAACAAACACAGCACATTAAACACAGCACATTATTCTAATTCTAATACATACTAGGTTTTAAAACTATAAATAAAAATCCAAGGATAAGCCATAGAATTTTAGTAACAGGAAATATAGCTTTAAAAGATACTTACATCAAACCCTGTATTTGGATCCCATCCAACATGTCCAATGTGTCTAAAGTAGAACATAGAAAGAAATTAGAAAAGTAAATGCATATATGGGCTTGTAAAATAATGCATAAAACACTTGAAATCTGTTATATACAGCCCGATTTCTTTCTCTTCTTGACAATTCTTGCAGGCATCTTCCAGGTTATTTATACATCAAAGTTAAAATAAAATCATGTTCAACAATAAGTTGAATAAAGAAATAAAGACATCTAACTTCTCTGTTCAGATGGGGAGAAAAGTAAACTTTCAGATTCATGGAAGAAGCCTGACTTGGTAGCACACGCATTCCTGGATACTTGGAATTCTAGGCCAGCTAGGGCTACACTGTCTTGAGAAATAAACAACATAAATACCACCGAAACATCTCTAACTATTAAAGAGATGACTGTGGGTATTCTTCACTGGAAGCTTGTCTGCTCCTTGGGAGCTCCTTCTCACCTTTCCGTTATAAATCTATTCATTCTTTTTGTGCAAATCAAAACCAAACAAACAAAAAAGACCAATGAACACACACATCCTTCCTGTTATAGTTTGAATGTGAAATGTCCCCCCATAGGCTCATGTACTTGAACACTGTTCCCAGCTAGTGGGTGATATTTGAAAGGCTGTAGAACAGTTTATGAAGTGGAACCTTGCAGTTTTATAGACTGGCCCCACTTCCCATCCTCTCCATATCCCTTACACTTGTGTAGCCATGTCTTCTCCACCATGATGGTTTACATTCCCTCCGAGAAAGTAAGCCAAAGCAATCACTTTCTCCTCAAAGTTGCTGTTTGTTGGGATACTCTACCACAGCATCAGAGAAGTGACTATTACATAGAAACTGAATTTTTCTGACAAAAATCACGAGCAGCACAGACGACATAAAAAAGAACAAAGATAGAGCCGGTGTAGCAGTGCACACCTGCAGTCCCAGGTATGGCTCTGGACGCTCAGGCAGAGGAGCCTATATCCTAGGCCAGCCTAGGCAACAGAACAAGACCTATCTTTTTAAGTGACAGAAGACAGAGTCTTACTGGAAGTTACTTGGTGTTCCAATATCTGCCTTGGTTAGTCTCTTCTTTTTAGCCTTTCCTTTCTTCTTTTCTTTGGTGTGGGAGATGTTGTTGACTTGTGAACCATAAAACCTATTTGTTGTGATCTCTGGATTTTTTATGTCAACTGTAGCCATGGGTAGATTGGGACCTATATGGTATGAGAGGGATACAATTAAAAACATGATTTTATATAATCATAATTTATAATTTATTGTACTTTATCTTTTAACTTATGCCTGCTTACTTGTATCTCAACATTAAATACTATGAAGTAAATTAATGTCTATAAAATTTAATTAACCTGATCCCTTAATATTTTTCCTTTTTACTGTAATTCTGGTAAAATGATATGGACAATACAACACTCATAAGGAAATTGATGGCATTCTTGATCCCATCTTCTTTGTTTCAACCTTATTTATCCATAAGAAAATACATACTTTAAAATTTTACTACCATCTTCTTCTGAAACTGCCAGATTTAAGTTCACTAATATTCTCCCACCAGTACATATGTTAAATTGGTTATCAGAAGCACAAAGCTCAAATACTTAAATTGAAAGTAATTACCTGCAAAGATCTAATGATAAAGTACCCAGGGACTTTCAGAGATTTTTGTCAGTAATATCTCTAGGAGAAACACTAAATGATGTAGCCCACAACTTGTATATAATAAAAGATACTCTAAAGAAATCAAAGTCTCAATGCAACAGATTCAATTTAAAAATTCTTACGTACCCTCAAACTCAACATCCCATTTTTAACACACACACTTCTCTGACAAAACCTCCTCTTAGACCAAGTTCCTGTGTGATCACCTCATTAACAATTTTCAAAATGTATCAAAATATCACCAATACTTATAAATAAGAATCAAAGCCTGGGATCTGTGTTTGGGTTTGAATGAAAATGGTTCCCATGGGCTCAAATGTTTGAATACTTAGGTCTCCAGTTGTTGGAACTATTTGGGAAGGATTAGAAGCTGTGGCTTTGTTGAAGGAGGTATGTTACTGGAGGAAGGCTTTGAGGTTTCAAAAGCACATGACATTCTCAGTAAGCTCTCTCTTTGCTTCTTGCTTTTTTAGATCAACATGTAAGCTCTCAGCCACTGTTCCACTACTACCATGTTGGCTTACTTGCTGCCATGTTTCCCACCATGATAGTCATGGACTCTAACCCTAACTCCCTACAGTTATGAGCCCCAAATTAAAAACCTTTTATAAGTTGCCTGGGTCATGGAGTTTTATCACAGCAACAGAAATGTAGTAACTAAAACAGACAGATGACATCTTGGCTGCCTAATGGGGACATAAACTTTGAAAGGGCTTTCACCATTCCCTGAGAAGATAGGCTGGAATCATTAAAGTTATCTGAAAGCCTTGCTTATATCAGCAAGGGAAACTAATGTATTTCTGAGGAAGGTTTAAGAATGACTAGGAAGCCAGGAAGGTCAAGGCTGACTATATCTTTAAGACCAGACTGTTCTATATGAATAATAACAACAAACAGAAAAACAACAGCGAATGGGTGAAGAGGACAGGAAGATACAAACTACCCCTTCCTAATTTAGGACAACTGTCACAGGAAAAGGGTTTTAAATATTCTTATAAACAACAGGTATCTCATTTTAATTTTAATCTTAATTTCAAATTCAAATCTAAAGGAACTCAAATTTCTTTTTAATTACAACGAAAGAGAGCTACACTAAAGGCAAGATAGCTGAGAGACAGATGACACGGAGGCACACTGAGGTATGTAAGCAAATTACATTTTAGGAATATATGCAACTTCTACATTAAAGTGACTTTTTAACAGTTATAGTTTGAAAAGGTCTGATAAGCTAACACATGAGGACCAAAGAGTGCCAGCAGACAAGCAAACCATGGTTAAGGTGTCCACTGCCACCTACTGGTGACATATTGAAATACAGTAAAGCTATAATTGATCAAAATTATCGTTCCACACAGTGAAGAAAACAAAACTGGCTAGACTAAAAAAGCCAAAAAAATAATTAAAACTCTCATAATATATCTCATAACTCACGATTAAGAATTTGATATAAAGACACACATATATTTTTATAAATTGAAAAGTATGAATATATCGGCAATACTGGCTGCATAATTTTGCCCTTTAACAATATTATTTAAAAAAAACTTCCTCACTTATTTAATGAAAACAAGTTATGACTATTACACCAAAACACTAAAAGTATTAAACCAAGGATTACCAAGAGAAGTCTTTATTCCCAGGCAGAAGTAGGAGGATCTCTATGAATTTGAGGCTAGCTTGGTCTACCCAGTGAGTTCCAGAAAGTCATGGCTGTGCAGAGACTCTTGTCTCAAAAAAAAAAAAAGAAAAGAAAAATCAAAACAAAAAACCCAACCCCCCCCAACCAATCAACAACCCAAGCCAAGCAACCAAACAAAATTAAGAGCAACTCAATAGGAATATTAAAATATTAAAATTGTTATCTATTCATAGCAATTAAGTGTCTGTTCATAAATACATATGCATATTGAAATAAATGTTTCCAAATTTTTGAATAATCCATACATCATTTAATATTTCAAGTTATTTTCTCAAAAATTAGATGCTACACCAAACACAACATAATAAACACCCAAAACACTAAAATACTGGCACCTATCAGGAAAAACTTCTAAACTCCATTAAAGGTTCAGAGAAGAACAACCCATTACTCAGAGGTTTCCTTTGCCTCTGCCACATTCCAACTTCCAATCTTGAGATGTGCTATCTACTCTCTTATAGGCCTGCTTTCCCCTTAAAAGTCAATTTTAACATGGCAATGATTAGGATCAACTCTTGGGTCAGGTTACTTGGGGAAGAACTCTGTGCCCAATCTTAACTGTGCTGTGATCTGAAGCAAATTACTTATATATTCCTATTTGTAATCTATTACATGGTAGTAAAATGGGTCCTACTTCAGAAGATTACTGAACAATGCCTGGCTGGTGGTAAATGATAATTAACTGAAACCTGCTATTACTGTTATCATCTTTATGATAACTGACATTTATTAACTGTTATGCTAAGCATTTTGAATATCTTTCATATCCCACAGCATTCCTATATGTTATTATAAGTAATATTTCCATGCAAAAGATAAACTATGTCAAACTTTAGTACAGAGCAAACAATACTGAAGGCAATTACCTATTCAAAAACTGAAAGGTTAAATAATAAAACTTAATACATCTTATCTTTGATTCACGTTTTATATCTGGAAAACAGACTTAAAGACAAAATTAAAAGGCAATCTATCTGTGTAAAGGGCACACACCTCAATAATTACCAATGGTCATCCTATATTAAGAACTTTGCATTCTGCAAATTTCCCTGCATAATCTTTCTAAGTTCTGAAGAGAGGATTTGGAAGGCATTTCAAAATCAGCAGATAAATCCCCACTTATAATGAAGGTTCTTGGAGCAATAAGATTTTACTTTTAAGGCTCTCATTCAAATGTGAACAAAGTAATGGAGCCTCCCTCCAGAGAGAACATGAAGGACAACGAAGAAGAAAAAGTAAACTCCAGGGGGCTGTGTGCATGACAGGCAGCACTGGCACTCTTAAACAAGGAAGTCTCCATTTAACAAAGTGTGTCATGTAACACATGACAAATAATAAACATTAAGTGTTATAAAGGAAGTGTTTTAAAATGGAAAAAAAAGTAAATCTGAAAAAGAAACGAACACATATACCAAATAAAATGCAATGCCTTTAGGAAAGACTTAAGCGCATGCACTTTCTAAACAACCAACTTGGAAGTACAGAAGAGAATACTACTTGAGTTCACACTGTACTTTCACCTTATGTGAGGAAACAAATTAAGAACAGTAAATTTCTAAGTTTGGCCTATCATTCTATAATAGAAAGCAAGAATAAATTAAACTATGATATTTGATCATAAATATTAAGCATTAACCCATGGTACACATTTCTACAATAATTAAACTGTAACATGAAAACTTTTTTTGTCAATAATCATCAAAAGCTTACCATTTGGAGCATCTCGTCTTTTCTCTGTTAAAAAAAATCAGAACATTTATTAAACACATAAAATACAGACACACACACATACCTAATAAAAGTAAAACTTTGATAACATATTTATATAAATTCTTACTTTTGAGGTGATATATAGAGATTGCTAAGGAATCTTTCTTAAGATCACATAATTATGCAGATATCCAAATAGAAGAAAAGCCCAAAAGCTTAAAATTATAGTGTGAGAGACTGCCAAGACAACTGGACTGGAGTGAGCAGAGAAAGCAGCTCTCAGGTGACATGACAGAACCCGCATCTACAGTACAGTCTCAGTGCTGTGTGCAGACAGCACAGGGACGCGAGCGCTCTGTGAGTGACAGCTGTTAGGACAGTGATAACTAAACGACAATCCAGACAGAACCACAGAGGGAAGGGGTAGAATAAGGAATTAGGAAAGAGAAATGTATATTTATGGATGAGTAAGTAGGAATTTCTGGGAGGATCAATTAGGGACAGGAAGAGGTGAGGAGAGGAGGTAGTGGGAGAGAATATGGAGAAAGACTGTTAAAATTCAGGGGCATTTGGGAGATATACAAGTGAAACTCCCCCCTCCAAAAAAAGCACTTTAACAATTTTTTGTTTGTTTGTTGGAGGCACTGGTGGACCCAGAACTTGCTAAGTAGGTCATAACTGCTAAGCTAGCCACAAATTCATGGGCAAATCTCCTGCATCCTCTGCCTCCCATGTGCTGAGGTTACAGACACCACGGCTATGACTGGCTGCATTTCTATAATTTTAAACAAATATAATTTCTATATATTTTTCTAATACAAACTTTCCTGAAATTGTAAGAGAAACATTAATGACTAATGTACTAAAATAGCTAGCTTATAAATAATAACAAACACAATAAAATTTTATTGGTGGACTAATTAAGAATCCTACCAATGGGAACCATAGGTGTAACATTCTAGCTTGTGATCAGATGAAGCAACAATATGATCATTTAAAGGAAGCAATTTCTATACTGTCAATCTTTAGTTTTTAAAATGATATTAGTCTCTGTATGCAGATTGGTGCCCACTTAAAAAAAATAAAAGATTCAAAATGTAAGTTTTAACAGCAATTCCTGAAGATATATGTCCTTGGTTGGAAGCCATTTAAGTGAGAAAAAAAAAGCAGAACAGCTTGGCTGAAGAGACAGAATCTGACATTCATGTGAAACACTTGCTAAAAACACTAACGGAACAGTGTGTGTCTGGCATTTGGGATGTTTTAGTAGCACAGGACGACTCATGCTACAATGTGGGGCACTATGTTCAAACCCTAACACACACTAAAAAGGACACAGCCTAGTGAACTGCATGAAGTGCTTAGGTGGCTGAATCTATAGATTCTATCACAGAACTACTTAAAAAATGGAACCAGTAAGACCAAAGAAAAAGTCTTAAAGAGCATGTGATAAAGGACTACAAATAGTACACAGTGAGGAAAAGAACACAGATTAATCTAATGCTACTGACTAAGGTAAAAAGGGAGACAGGGTTCGATTTAGTATGAAGACTCACCATACAGTGATCAACTCAGCTGTGTCCTTAATGTCATGTTCTCTAAGCAAGTGAAACATTTTACCTAAACTTTAGATAGCCACTATATGCAGGAGAATGCCTATACTAGGTAAAAGGCTTGTGATCTTACCTATCTGTTTCAAATAAAATTACTTTTAACAAGGGCTTTGTATTCTTTTTCACTTCAAAATGTCACTTGTTCTGACTAACAGTTTTCCCAAAAGATCACTAGATTACTGTCACAAAATCTCACTAAAAACGGCACCGAAGGCTCAGAGAGAGGAATGTGCTTGCCTAGCAAGTGTGAGGCCTGGAGTTAGAATTCCAGAATTCATGAAAAAGCTTTGCAAGTGTGGCCTATAATCCCAACATTCAGAAGACAGAGACAGGGGAATCCCAGAACAAGTTGGTTAGCAGGACGAGCCAGAATTGACCGGTCAGAGACAGAGACCCTGTTCAGACAGAGACCCTTGACTTAAAGGTACAAAGTGATCAAGGAAGACGGCCGAAGTCAAACAAAACAGAACAAAGACACTGAGCCTAAGCGTTAGGTTTCAGTATCAGAACAATAAATACTTCTGAAATAGAAACAAGAAATAAGCTGCTCTTGACTGTACAATTGCAGGGCTCTAATTATCCTATTTATTCATCATAAAGAGAAGGTTGATTTACTTTATCTCAACATCGTTTTTAAAAAAGTGTGTGTGTGTGTGAGAGAGAGAGATCATGTGTGGAAATTAAAGAACAACTTGGGAGGGAGTCGGTTTCTCCTTATACCAAATTTGTCTCTTCCTTCTTGGAACTCATTAAAGAACAATAAAAATCATAAAATAGTGTTTGTTTTTCTATTGCTATTTCTAGATCCAGTGCCTTCCTTTGTTCATTGCTAAACACACTTAGCTCCAATCTGGGGTAACATGTACCCTTAGATGTACACAAAGTTGTTCAGAGAGGCTTATTTTAAGCAATCTGCTCAGCAGTCACTCCTATGAGATCCCTGAGATTGATATGCCTAACAGGATAGTTTTAGGGAGGCTCACCTTCCTCAATCAGTCTTTATTTCATTTCAGGAAGGCTAGAGACAGCTGTCAAATGATAGCTCTATGCTAATTAATTTAAACTTCTACACTATCCTGAATCACTTTCTAATTGGTATATTTATGTTAAAAGCTATCTTATGCATTAAATTAAGTTCCTTATGACTGTACAGTGTACGACACTGGAACAAAAAGACAAAGCAACATTTTCAGACTTACTCTGCAATTCTCCTTATTTGTTCTTAAGCTTCTTAAAAGTGTTTACAAAACATAAAAGTACTTAAATTTGTTTTGAAAATTCAATTAATAATTCAAATTTAAAAGTTAGTAAACACGGAATTTTATGAGCAAAATCAAAAAGGTGACTGAAGTAAAAGTGTTTCTTTCGAGGCAGGTATCTTGGAGCTTTGTTGTCTAGAGGGCTAGACAGTAAACACTTTGGGGTTTGATGACTGTATGGACTCTGTCCCACCTCAACTGTGCTGTGACAAAAACTGCCCATATACTGGATGCACAGGAATGAATGGAGCCAGATACCAACAGTTTATAAGTAACAGCCAATGATTCACATCTGTTTGGTAACCAGTTTGCTGGCTTCTTTAATGTACAGAAAGGGAAGGAAAAGCAAGGAGATGTTTACCAGATTTCCGCTGCCGTCGGCCCAACAGGTCTGTAACTGCTTTTCGGAACTTTTTTGCTTCTTCTTCATTGGCAAAATTAAGAGCAACTTGACAAGTCTGTAATATTTCCATCAAAAGGAACAAACAAAGTGCATAAATTTAGCTTTATGTAACAACAATGGCAATCCACAGAAGCACATTTCAAAGGAGGGAAAGTTTGGTTTCTGACAGTTAAAAACAAACAAACAAACAAAAAACCCAACAACTTTAGAACTTAAGTAACTTTTTAGCGAAAAAGCCCAGGCAAAAGTAAAGACTGTAAGAAAAATCTTCCTTACGTGGCAGAAACTTAAACAACTAAATACTCATTAAGTTTGAATAAAAATAGCCCCATAAGCTCATAGGTTTAAATGCTTGATGACCAGTCAATAGAATTGTTTGGGAAAGATTAAGGAAGTGTGGCCTAGTTGGAGGGGCTGTGATACTGGGGGTGGGCTTTGAAGTTACAAAAGACTTGTACCATTCTCAGATAGTTCTCTCTGTCTCTTGTTTGTGGGTCGGATGTAAGCTCTCAGATGCTGATCCAGAGCCACACATGTCTGCCTGATGCTGGGATTACCACCATGATGGTCATGGACTCAACCTCTGAAGCTGTAAACGCCAAATAAACTCTTTCCTTTACAAATTGCCTTGGTCATGGTGTCTCTTCACAGCAACAGAAAAGTAACTAAGACAGTAGCTAGTAGAGTAATTATTAAGACAAAAACTTTAAGACTTACATCTCCAGCAAAGGTATGAAAATATCCTCTAGGACTATTATATACAAAGTTATTGTATAGTTCTTGTTCCCACAGTAATTTCCCATCCTAGAAAAAGAAGGTTGAAATTTACTAAAAAAAAAATACATCTAGGAATAAAAGTACACAACTCATTAAAGGAACTGTTTCTATAAACAAAAACTTTTAGGAACATATAGAATATAAGGGAGCTTCATTCAACAGGGCAAGCATTTCCAAGTAAACTCGCTATGCACAACTAAGCTCACTAGATTGCCAAGACCACATGAGCAAGTGAGAAGTACCCATGACCAATGTGTATCCCCATTAGCCAAGATTTTTTTTCCCAGTTTTTTGAGACAGGGTTTCTCTGTGTAGCTTTGGTGCCTGTCAATGGAGCTGTCTCTGTAGACCAGGCTGGCCTCGAACTCACAGAGATCCACCTGCCTGTTTCCTGATGGCTGAGATTAAAGGTGTGTGCCATCACTATCTGTCCATTAGTCAAATTTTTAAGTCATTTTTTTAATCAAACACTGTAGTAATATCTTTTGCTCTCTTCCTCAATTTACAGATGCAGAATAATTAAAGACATCTTCAGGCTGTTCAAAAATAAATTTACACAAGAGATGAGAGAGAGATCCACATAATACTGTCATAGTACAGCTACAGTGGAAGAAATATATTTATTCTTCATGTCACTACTTCTGGATGGACTAGGTTTAGCATTTCCAACTCCTGCCCGATAAGGCTAAGGAGAAGAAGTTATTGAAGGAGGGAAAGCAGGCACCAGTGAAAAAAATAATACTCTGAACATCTCCTTGGGGCACATGAGGAGTATGTGAGGGCGCTGGGATTTAAAATATGACATGGTGGCCTACTTTGTGGATGAACAGTCCCTGAAGAATGAAGATTAAATATTCTGGAAGTTTTCTGACAAACTTTGATAAGTAGATGAAATATAACTTAATAAAAAATAAAAGAAAAAAATATAAAAAAATTTGCTGTAAATGCATTTTTTTTTTTTTTTAGTGTAGCTGAATAGTCATTTGTTTTGAAACAGTGCTTCTTAGTGTTGATAAGAAATATAAAGCTACTTTCAGGGCACTATTGCAGTCTACTTCATCAGTGAAGGTACACATTCTAAGACATTCTACTTCTGTCTAGAGCCTATGTATAGCCTTCCCTGGACAAAACATACTTACAATAATGTTTAACTATACTTGAAGTATAGTAAGAACTATAATAAAACACACCAACTACAGAAAAGGTCTTTAACAAAGGCTATATAAAACTAATAATAAATTGTTCTCTTTGGGATTTGCTTTTTCACTTTTAAGACCATGTTTGACAAAAAAAAAGGACAGAAAACAAAGACATAGGAAAGAGGGGGTCAACAATATCCTTATCTCATGTCCCACTCAGTTCCAATATCCTTAAGTATCTACAATGAATTTCACCCTTCAAGTGTATCAATTTAAACACACACACAAGACAATCAGAAAATTTAGACTAAATTATAATCAAGGCAGATAACCACCTACAAGTTAAAATGAAATCAAAACAAAACTTACCTTAATGTCAAATATTCTTAAAAAATAAGATCTCTGAGGATTGTCCTTAACAAGACAAGCAACACCACTGCACTTCTTTGACCACATACAGTTCCGATCTGCTGCATATAACTGCACCACTGCCGAAGACATAGTCTGCAAAATACCAATGCACAACCATTACCTTCAAAACAACTGGACTCCCAGCCCCTGCCAAGGCCCTGACTGCAACCTCCCAAAGCACCAACCCAGGACCACCCAACTGAGCTAGCTTCCAGAAGCAGAATACAATGAATATTTCATTCTTAGTTACTTCTTTTTGAGGTTATAACTAATATAACACACATATCAACAATTATTGAAAAGTAACATTTATTGATTCTTAAAATGTCGGGCTAGAGAGATGATTCGGAGGTTAAGACCACTGGCTGCTCTTCCAGAGGTCCTGAGTTCAATTCCCATCAACCACATGGTAGTTCATAACCATCTATGAGATCTGGTGTCCTCTTCTGGCATGCAGGCATACAAAGAGACAGAATGTTGTATATATGATAAATAAATAAATCTTTTTTATTTATGTACCTGGAAACATATACTTAAAAACACTAACCTCATGTAATCGTTATTACTATTCTAACTTCACATTACACTCAAGAAACACAATACTAAAGAAGATAAATAATGTGTCTGATAAACTGCTAAGTACGGAAGCTGAGATGTGTGACTTCAGAACTTCTATTTTCACATCTCCTTAAGTACATTGCATTTTGACAATGCAAACATTTAAACAGTGGAACAATCCTATCAGGGAAAGCTGACTTCCATAAAACAATTGTCCCTTTATGGCAAAGGAACTAAATCAAACTTGAAAGCAAGATTCAAGATTAGTAATAATAAACGTATCAAGATAGTTGATGCCTCCTCTTTTAAAAATGGAAAAACCATGGCAAAGATTTAAAGTGACTTACACAGGTAGTCCAGGGATTAAAAAACTATTCTGAGGGTGCAAAACCCAACCTGACCTGCCACTGGAGGTCAGGATGCCATGGATCTCCCATGAACCAGCTACACTGGAGCTCTTAGATGACAGAAGAGTTACCTCACCACTTACAGGGGACATCTTGGGCTGATAGGAACTCCAGGATACCTGCTGCTTTCCTATGACTGTGAATCAATGCAAACTCCCACTTTTTCTTTTGAAGGCAGCTATTTGATCTATTTCTTTTAAGGTGACACTCACAAAAAGCACCAACAAATCTGAAAATAACAATTACAGTTTCCAAACCACTAATCTCATTCCTAAACCAAAATTTAGGGAATTAGCTTCCAAAACAATTATTTTTCAGTGTAAATATAAAATTACTTCAAGAGTCATTGTCATATATAAAGTTACTTCAAGAGTCACTAGCATATATTATACACAAGAATGGGTTTCATTGTATTTTCATATAGGTACATAATGTATTTTCATCTTCCCTGCCCTCTCTACTCCCTATGATCCTCTTCTTTCCAACAAGTCCATTCCCACTGTCATGAATCATGGAATTTTAAGCATACGCACACTAAGTAATCAAAATCCGGATCCAATTAAGTAATTATGATGTCCAAGTTCAATAAAATATGGGCACTGTATAAACTTAGCAGACTATATATTACGACATGGAGGTGTGGTATTTGGTATTATCTAATTACAATCGGGGACCGCCCTCTGTCAAAAGAATTCCTTGAACTATTATATAAATAAACCTTTAATTATGTCAAAATCAGGAATGTAAGATCAGTACACTACTAGGGAACAAAAATCCATAAAGACATTGTGGGTAACAGTGTTCAATGCTGTATTTTTAATTAAAAAAAAATCACCTAAGCTTCATGCAGGAAACTGGGAAATTAATACAACATTAAAAATCATGAAAACCCAAGACTGCCCAGAGTACGCACTCTGGGACACCGGCCCGGGGAAGACATGCCTGCATTGCTGTGCGGCACAAGTACAGGCTGACAACTCCAGAGGCTGCCTGCTCCTGAGAGCAGCTCCGTCCACAGGTCACGACCCCTCTGGGGCTGCATATCAGATATTTACCTGACAATGCATGGAACAGCACAATAATTTTATGGCTGGGGTCACCACCGCGTGAGGGACTGGAGTAAAGAGGCCAGTATTAGAGAGGCTGAGCACCAGTCACATCCTCAAAGAGAAAATTTCAGCAAAGAGAGAGAACACCAAATACCATGCAGGGGGAAAAAAAACATCAAGCAAAAAAAAAAAAAACAACAAAAACTAGAATTTGTATTTGATATAATGCTACCCAAGCATATCTATGGAAAGAAAAAAAGCAAAAACAACAGCAAAAACCCAGGACACCTGACAATCTCTCTATTTTATCCGTTACCAAAGAGTAATAGCTTTAGAAAAATTCCATTGTCAGAAACCCTTTACTAACATCAATACTAACACCGTGTAACATTATTTGGATGTGTATAGAAACACACAGAAAATAAAAACAAAAGCTTAAACGGTGAAAAAAATTTAAAACATCTGCGTATGCAATGAAGATTCAACTATGCTATATTTTTTCACACATAATCTGACACTAGAAAAAACTAAGGAAAACACAATAAGCAATTCTCAGAAATGTTTTTAAAAATTTGCTATAAGTATAAATTTACCCATTCCATTTTCACTTTAAGCTGCCAAAACTTAAAAATGACACATTATAGCATTTTATAAAGCCTTTCCTGATTGATTCATAATAACTACAGTATATGCAAAAATCAGCTTAGATATAAAACATTAGTATAGAAATTTCTAACAATAACCACCAAGTATCCCTTAAATTAGATTGACAGTGGCTCAATTAACTGTGGACAAACATTCCTTCCATTCCTTTAAAGTAACTGAACTTAATCAACTATATTACTCTTGTCTCTCACAATCAAGAAGATATTAATGAAAAACAACCTAGGGACAAGTGCTTTGGAATAGAAATCCATTTCTTAATAGCCCAATAAAGGCCATGAATCTGTTAAGCAGAAGGAAACAAATATACTACAGTGACGATTACAGAACCAGAACCATCAGCCCTTATGAGTAATTCAGCAAGGCCTTCCCTCTCAGAACTCTCACGGGTGGAGGCAATGGGAAGTGAGGCATATCCTGGGAAGTGAGATTCTCCTCCCCACTGTCCTTCAGGAAAGCATGGTCCTACTCCAGGGTTAGTTTTGCAGGCTGCAATCCCTGCCTGCCTGCTCTTCCTTCCGCTTCTCCAGAACTTTCTTGTGTACTCTTGCTACATCACAGATCTTCCTCCAAGGTAGACTAATTTCATACCCAGTAAAATATTGTCATTTCCCACAGCACCTGAAATACTTTTGCAAACCTGTATTTATAGTCCCCGTTCCTAAAAAATATTCAGTTAAAAATGGAATGTCTTCCTTTCTGCTCTGTAACTGTGCATATCATCTGCTTTGACCAAAAGGACATCAGCAAATAAACACAAGTTTGGAAAGTGTTTGTACACTGTGATCTGTTTCTCTGGAAGGCAGGACTGCTCTAAAAACTTTGGGATCAAAGTCTAGATGCCACCAACGATGAGCTTATTTGCCGAATAGTGAGAAATCAATGTATTCCGTTTCCAGTCATAAAGCAGTGTTTGTGGCAATGGGTGACTGGCACTGTTAGACGGCTTACACTAAAGAACCTATCACCTGTGACCAACAGTTCTAGCTTTTATTTCTATTAGAATGCTTTTAGTTGTAACAGATATATACTTTAAATTAGCAGTAAATCATAAAACTTTTAGGCTTTATTATCATAACCAGAACAGATTTGTGGGGAGAACGCATTTAAAAAAAAACATTTCATAAACCGGGCAGTGGTGGCACACGCCTTTAATCCCAGCACTTGGAAGGCAGGGGCAGGCGGGTCTCTGTGTATTCAAGGCCACCCTGGTCTACAGAGCTAGTTCCTACAGCCAGCACTATACAGAGAAACCCTATCTCAAAGAAAAACAAAACCAAACCAACAAAACAGTAAAAGAAACACTTTACAGATTAAAAAGTCACACTGACAGGAATATGTTGAGTGGACCAAGGTCACTCAAAAGTTATAATCCTTACTCAAGTCTCAGGAGGTGCCTGAAAGGCAAATTCTTAAACTACAAATCACCTTGCACAGACTTTTAGAATTCTCTAAACCCACAAAGACAGTCACTGTAACTACAAATGGCAAGGCTTGTTGAAGTCTCTTAAGTTTCCCACCAGAGGGATGGTCACCTGTAGACAGGGGAGAGGATTCCAGGGCCTGTCTGCCCAGTGGCTGGGGACACTGCTAACAAGCATAGGTACAGATATGGGGTGCTCTTCTCTTGCTCTCCCTTTTCGAAAGCTTAAGTGGATCTGTCTAAACAAGTTTTTCATCTTTTCCCTCTTCTGCCTCCCTCGACAAGTTTGTTGGATTATGGAAATCCTCTACTTTGGACTGGAAGTTTAAGGGAATTAAGGTGGTCTCCTAGGGTTTCCAACTCAGCTCACCAAAGGTTAGCATAAGGAGCTAGGATTTAAACCCTGACTAACATGGAAGGAAGAAAGGCTGACAACATGTAACTACTACTGCTTCTCCCATGCATTTCCCGTGCAAACAGTTTGGGACAACAAAATGGGAAGGCAGGCATTGTGGCTGTTGGTAGGATGCGGTTATTGCAGAATTCAAGAGTCAAATGTTTGGTATCATTTCATCATAAACTTTATCATGCACACAGTCCACTTCCATTAAATAGAACAGGGATATAACAGCGTATTTTTCCCTTTGAATTTTGAGTTTGTTTTTTTTGTTAGAATTGTTTCTTATGCTAAATAAATGCTTACTTTACATTTAATTTTGATACCTTTTATTGAAGAGTCCCTCCAAACTGTATACACTTCAAGACACAAAACGTACATTGGCTTAAGACAAAAATGATTTCATCAGAAAAACAGAATTTCGTATCTAAAGAAAAAAAATTTTCCAAAGCACACTTAATGATGACTCTTAGCACCAAGAGACCTCACCCACTTAGGGAAACAGTAGCCAGGGATTTCAAAATCAACTAGATAAGGGCAGGCAGGAGCCTCCTTTGGGTGTCTGTGGGAGGGGATTCTTCCTACTTGTGTAAGAATCTTTTTTTTTTAGTGATTACATTGCATTTGTTTAAATGTTTGATTTGTACTGGAGGCTCAAAGCTCAAGGGAAAATACCTTTTTCTTTCAACATTAAGAGTACTTTGCTACTTAGCAGTTAAATTAGAAAACACTTATTACTGAGTCTTTAGTTGTTTTCTTGGCAATTCCCATCCACAGACATTATATTCTTCATTCTTGTTTCCGTTTCTTCTGAGCATCTGCTCTGTGACATGTGTAGCTGCTGTAGTTAATGGCAAAACCACCAATAGACAGCCTCCCCTATTGAGAGCTTGCTTCTTTCTGTGCAGGTGCACTAGCATTCTGACTTCTACAAAGACATACCCTGAGGAAGTTTACTTATTAGGCCATCTCTTCCTCAACCTAAACTTTTAATAACTCCCCATCTAACCCAAGTTATGTATAAATCCTCTACCAATCTGGTGGCACTTATTAAAATGAATTTCCATGTGTCTGATAAGTGCAAAATATGTATAAAATGATAAGGGAAACGATTAGCTTCGAATCATAAAAATATTATGCTGCAGTCCCATTCTCACAGAGCTTAAGATACAAGAAATTGTATCAGGGTCATCAAGGTCTTCTCTCCTGCTCTGATCTGTCCTCCCAAGGTATGTGCTCCTGCAATGCTAGCATCATCTTTATTACACAATCCATTCGCTTAGGTCTCATTACCAGATTGTCATCTCCTTGAGCTAGGGGCCCTACAGGCACACAGCAAGCAATTACAAAGGTTCAAAGAAATACTAAAAGCAAAAAGCATTAGTACTTGACCTACTGAGAAGATACCCAACAAGAAAATTAATCCACTCCAATCACAAGACATCAGGAAGTTATGCTACAGCCCGTATCTGCTGCTACCTTGTCTCACTACGCTGCTCTAATGAGCAAATCCATTCAAGGCTGACTACTCCCTGCCACATTTGTTGCCTGAAAGGAGAGCAGTAACCTCAATTCTACTCTTTATTTCTCCCGACTCAAGCCTGGAGCCACCTGCTCCTGTGCATGTCTGCCACCACCCAAAGAGGTGAGTGATCTGGTCTCCTCTACAAACTGTCTTCTCTACCAGGAGATATTTGAGGTGACCCCTACCCCAGGCTGGAGGCCAGAGTAGCTGCTATTCTAAGCTTCACTGTTACACAGAGAATTCCTGTAGCCCTAAGACCAGGTCTCTTAACAGGCCTTTCAGTGGAAGGGTACTTCTCCCTTGGTGTGGTGGTTTAAATGAAGCATGTCCTCCATAGGCTTGGATATCAGTTTAGTGGAACTATTTGGGCAGGTATAGGTAGTGCAGCCTTGCTAGAGGAAGTATGGCACTGCTTTGGGAGTATATATATAGTCGTGCTCTACTTCTAACTTCTTCTCTGCTTCATACTTGCAGTTAAGGATGTGAGTTCTCAGCTTCCTGTTCCAGCCACCATGTCTGCTGCGATCTACTACGCCTCCCTGCCATGATGGACTCATCCCTCTGAAATCAGAGGCCAAAATAAGCTTCTTCTTTAAGTTGCTTCTGGTCATGGTGTTCTATCACAGAAAACGAAAAACTCACTAATAGTTAATCAGTAACCCAAAATCTCTGGCCACGGCACTTCTCTGGTGGGTCTGAAGGTCTGAAACAGGGTGGCCCACTGCTCAACCTAGATGGAGGGGCGGACTTCTTTTTCTCTGTCAATCTCTGTTCTCATTGTGAACAGCAGGGCAGACACTTTTTTATACCCGTTCTACTTTCATTCCTATTGTTGTGGAAAACACCATGACCAAAAGCAACTTAGGGAAAAGCTTTCTTTGGTTTACAAAAGGTCACAGTCCACATCTATGAGAACCCAGGGCAGAATCTCCAGCAAGACCATAAGCAGAAACCATGGGGAACACTGCTTGGGGGCTTGCTCACAAGTCCATGCTAGCTTTCTTATATAGCCCAAGACCACTTGTCTAGAGGTGGAACTACCCACAGTGGGCACTGGGCCCTCCTGCATCAATTAACTATCAAGACAATCCTCTACAGACATTCTCACAGACCAATCTAATCTAGGCAATTCTCTCAGATGACTCTAGGCTATATCAAGCTAACAAAACTAAGACAACACCCTACAGTGTGGGAAGTGAGTATATCCCACTATGAATGAGCACTCACAACATAGGCATTGTCATGTCAAAGAGTCAATGCCTCAGAAGGCAAAGACCTTTCCTAGTCCTGCTATAGATGGTGACAAACAGTTGCCTTTCAGCTAAAATCAATATGTGATGAAACCACAGCTTCCAGGTTCAGACGGCCACATGATCACTCTAAGGCTATTCCCCTACAGAGAACACCCCCCACCCCACTTCCTTGTTCATGCAAACATAACAAGCATCCAAACAGCTAGTACATCTCCATCCGAATGCATGGCCCACCAGATCCCGGTTTGATGTTACATGTGTCTTTCTTAATCTCCTACAACACCCAGAAAGATGTCTGTCTTTCTTAATCATCTACTACTCCCAGTACAATTTCTAGACTCTGCCACAGAGGCTAGAGCACCGCAGTTTCTCTTCTTCTTCTGGCCAGATCTCCTGAGACTGCATTTGTTCATCCAAGCACTTGCCCAGGACAGCATACCAGGTTCAACAGTTCCCTCTCCAGATGATACTCTGGCAAGCCTATTAAGTCCCATCATGGGAAGTCCCAGATCCCTTATGCTTCCTGGGTCAGCTAAGGTGGCATTCTAAAGTATAGTTCTCTTTTTGTGGTTCCCCAGAGCTCATCAGAGTTAACAAATGATGGGTAGGGATGGCCCTGTGTTGCCCCTCCTCAGTTCCAAGAAACTACTGAAGAAAACACCTCCAAACAGTTTCCTCAAATTGAGTTGATGACTCTGTTGGAGGAATGGAGAACAGCAGTTGCTAATGGACAAAACACAACCACTGCCTACCAGGAGGTTTTCACAGTCTGAATTTTGTTCAGAAAGAGTCCCTAAACACAAAATAGAGGCATCTTTTGCCATCAACTTGAGCAGCTAAATGATGTAACTGAGAGCAGTCAATGAAAAGTAGCCATGACCTGTTATTACCACAGAACTATCCAGTCTCCGCCCCTAAAACAAATGTCCACACATCAGACTGTCCTCCTTCGCATGGCAAAGACTGCACTGAGGAGTTGCCTGGTGGACTCTCCTAACCAAGAGAGGATAGTTCCCACCCATCCTCTCTCAGAGGCAGTTCTGCTGTCTTTACCGCTACTTTCTTGCTGCATCCTCAACAAACCTACAGAGAGAGCAAGAGTGAGCAAGAGAGAAAATAGAAGTGAGAGTTCTCCTTTTGTTGAATCTTT